TGGCACCACCACTTTCCCAGGCACCTGGGTCCAAAGACCAGTAAGTTCGGACTTTTTACTTCCATCTGGTCACTTCCCAATACCACTATTATTTTTTTTTTTTTTTTTTTTTTTTTTGAGACAGAGTCTCGCTTGTTGCCCAGGCTAGAGTGAGTGCCGTGGCGTCAGCCTAGCTCACAGCAACCTCAAACTCCTGGGCTCAAGCAATCCTGCTGCCTCAGCCTCCTGAGTAGCTGGGACTACAGGCATGCACCACCATGCCCGGCTAATTTTATATATATATATACATTAGTTGGCCAATTAATTTCTTTCTATTTATAGTAGAGACGGGGTCTCGCTCTTGCTCAGGCTGGTTTCGAACTCCTGACCTCGAGCAATCCGCCCGCCTCAGCCTCCCAGAGTGCTAGGATTACAGGCGTGAGCCACCGCACCCAGCTTCAATACCACTATTATTATGCCTCTCTTTTCTCCTCCCCAATCCCAATGCCATGCCTCCTCCACTGCCATGCCCTCCCTCGTTCCTTCTCCTCATCTCTACCAGGGCCCTTGCCACCGGCCCCTACCTGAGCTTCTGACCTCCAGAGTAATCAACAGAAGCCAAAAAATCTGAGTTCCAACACTCACTAATTAATCAATTTGTATAAAGAAATCATTTATTTTTCTGAGCCAATTTTGTCTCTGCAAAATAGGAAAATAAAATGTTTCTCATTTATAGAGACTTTGTGAAGATGAAAAAAGACAGTGGCTATGATAGCCCTTTGTCAGGCATAAAACACTGTGTACATGATGGTCATGTTTTACATGATCAGAATCCATCTGAAACTTGGAAACATGAGTCACAATACGCACTCTTTCTTGTAAAATTATCCAATGATTTTTCAATGACTATAGAATAAAGTCCAAATTCTTTGCAAAGATTCTTCACAATCCAGTTCCAACTATCTTTCTAACCACATTCTCCTCCTCACACAGGCTAACGCAACCATCAAGAATCAGCTCAAAAGGCACCTCTTCCAAAAGCCAACCCTGATCTCTCCAACAAGAAATAATCTCTTCCTCCAACCCCCAAGTACAGAGACCCTTTACGTGAACTCTTCCTCCAGGGCTTTCATTTTTCACTTCCTACTTTAGACTGCATCTATTTATAGCTACCACTTATTAAGGCAGTACTCAACATATCCCAGTGTTGTGCTAGACTCTTGCGTCTATTTCTTCTGACCAAAATAGAAACTTTCAAATAGCAATGGAATTAATCCCATTTAGATGGAAAAAACAGATGCTACCAAGATGAAAGCAGGAAATTCAAACACAGGAAAAATTTCAAAGCCTATGTTGTTTCCATGATGCCTGCTGCCTTGCATGGCTTTATTTATGGCCCTTGACTTGGACCCCAATTGGACTTTTAAATCCCTTTTTATTGAATTCAGTCTGATTCATCTTCAGTATCCCTTACAGACTCAGCACAACACTCTATGCACAGAAGAGGCTCAATGCATAGAAGAGCAAGTAAATGGCCCTTTTAAGTCATTTGACCTCTATGGACCTCAATTCCTCAACTATAAAATTGGGAGTAGCAAAGAGCCTGATCATATAATGTGTGGAGACCAACTTATTTGTAGATTCTTGCTGAGCATTTATGTGCCAGGCACTGTTCTAAGCATCTCATCGATTGATCCTCACAAAAAGCCTATGAGAATATTAAGCTCCTTTTATACTTGAAAAAACTAAGGCACAATTAACTTGTACCCAAGTTTAACAAAGCTTTCAAGTGGGGTGGCAAAACTTGGAACGCAGACAGCCTGGTTCCAGACCCATGTCCTCAACCAATACATACTTCTGCCTTTGCATAGATTTGGAACCCAAGAAAATCAAGTGAAAAGCTATTAGAAATGGGAACAGACTTATAGAAAGAACAGGGTTGGTAATAGACCATGTAAAACTAATGTTTAATATATATAGCAAGTATATATATACATATACACATAAGCCATATATATACTATACACACATTATATACATATATAATAAATGCTTTCATATACTCAAAAACCAATTAATTATGGGATAAAAGATCCCAGTCAAAATGGAACACAATAAACAACTAAAATACCTAGGAATAAATTTAAGAAATATGCAGAATATATACACATACTATAAAATTCTACTTAAGGACATTTAAAAAGTCATTAATAAGCAGAGAAAGATAACGTTTTCCCAGCTGGAAAGACTTAAAATTAATCTCTATATTTAACATAATACCAATTCAATTCATTTCAAGAGGGAGTAGCACAGTTCAACAAATAGGCACTTGCATATAAATTGATGTAATCTTTGGAGGAAAAGTTAGGGCAGTATCTATAAAAATTTTATATGTGCATCCCCTTTAACATAAAAATCCTAGTTCTAAGAATGTACCCTGTAGAAATGCCAACATATGCTACCAAAGATGGGTAAGAAATTTTCACTGCAATTTTGTTTGTAATAGAAAGAAAGAGAAAGGGTGAGGGGAATGGAGGGAGGGAGGGGGAGAGGAGGAAGGGGGACAAACTTCCGGCAAACAAAATGCCTAGCAACAGGGAGATTTTTGAGATAATCAGGCAAGTATACGCTATGGAGACGTTAAAGAGAGGAAGGTTTAAATATACCAACATAAAAGAAGTCTTAGCTAGGTTTTTGGTATGGACTGAATGTTTGTATCCCCCCAAAATTCATGTCAAAATCCTAATACCCAATGTGCTGGTATTTGGACATGGGGCCTTTGGGAGGTAATTAGGTGATGAGAGTGTGGCTTCCATGAAGGGATTAACATCTCTATAATAAAAGACAGGAGAGAGCTCACTTCCTGTCTCTGCTGTCTGCCGTGTAAACCAGGAAGAGAGTCCTCACCAGAACCCAACCATACTGGCATCCTGATCTTGAACTTCCAGCTTCCAGAATTGAGAGAAATAAATGCTTCTGCTGTTTAAACCACCTAGTCTGTGTTAATCTGTTGTAACAGCTCAAGTAGACTAAGATAGTTTCTAAAGGAAAAATGCAAAATATTTTCAATGCAAGTTGTAGAAAAATGAACGATTATGACCATTTTATTTTTAATATGGAATATAATTTGGTGAAGGAGAGCTGAAGGGTATAGAAGATGGAGATTTTGCTTTCTATACTGTTTTGCTTTCTATACTTCTGCAAAGAGCATGTACCGCTTTCACAATCATTATTAAACATTGGATTCAACAAATACTGAGTCTTGTGCCAGGCACTGGGGTGGTCAACGTGATAGGGCACCTGTTAAGTACATTTTTTGTTCCTGATTTAAACTGTTATAGTTATGACAAATTAGATTACATATTTGCATCCATTTGTAGATATTGGCATCTATTTATCTGTGCATTGTGGTGCCAGCGCCATGTTATTTTAATTATGAAAGCTTTAAATAGGTTTTAATATCCAGTTAGGCAGATTCTCATTACCCAGCATCATAATTATCTTGGCTTTTTAAAAAATCAACTTTATTGAGGTATAGTTTGCATACAATAAAATGCATCATTTAAATGTATATTTCAATGAGTTTTATCAAATTTATACACTGGTATAACCACCATCACAATAAAAAATTGACCCAAGTATTTTAAAGATCATTTGGAATTAGAACTAGTAAAAATTGCCAAGAAATGCTCACTTTGGTGTGACATTTGACAGAGAATTGCTACTTTAATGTATAATACTTAAAAGTGCTTAAAAAGCAGGAAGAGAAAGATACCCCAAATGAAATATGGGCAAAAGAATTAACAGTCAACTCACCCACATAAATGCAAAAGGCTAATAATACACAAAGGAAAAGGTGTTAATTCCTACAGGTAATCAAAGATGCAAATTAAGACAAGATACCATTTTCTGTCCGTGTTATTGATTTAAAACTTAAAATGTGTTTATGTAGAGAACATTTTAAGACATTTAGACAATCTCAACCATCTAGAAGTTGAAGTTCTAAGTCATCTTTATTTTCTCCTTTACATTTTTCTGTTTCCTGGATGTTTTGTAATAAGCTTATCTTTAACAAATTTGAATAATTCTGCTCAGGTGTTGGACACACAGCTTTTTCTCTTCTCACCTCATAAATGCACCTGGTGCAATGCATTCTAGAAATGCACCCCTAAAAAAAGCTATTTCCCCTTACGAGGATTAGTTTTCCTGGGGGAAATACACACACACACACACACACACACACACACATACACACACACGTGCACACGCACCCGCCGGTTTTTGCTAATGGTCTGCATAGTGAGATCATCATAGGAGCCCCTAAAAAAAGCTATTTCCCCTTACGAGGATTAGTTTTCCTGGGGGAAATACACACACACACACACACACACACACACACACACACACACACACACGTGCACACGCACCCGCCGGTTTTTGCTAATGGTCTGCATAGTGAGATCATCATAGGAGCCGCCCTGCGGTCCCCCGGAGAGAGCGTGGGCTGATCAGGAGATGCCGGTCACAATGACCCTGCAAGAGCTCACACCTCAAGACACCATGGGCGCAGTGCGGCACTAGCGAGGCCTGAGCCCAAGGGCCAGAAGGAGGGCGAGACACGCCCAGGTGGACCTAATCCTACCCCTCGTGAAAACCGAAAGGTGGCGGAAAGACCAGAGCCCTGGATCTAGTATCTGCTGCTGACCTTGGGCAGTCCCTGCCGCGCTCGAGCCTCAGTTTCCCCACCTGTACTCGGAGGCTGACCGTCTCCATTGCTGCGCTGCTTCCCTTCGGCTGGCTGGTCTTTCCAGGTGCTGAGAGGGTCACCTTCCTTTGCCCGGTCGCCCTCCCCTGACCCCCAGACTGCGAGGTCGCCCGCAGAAACCCAAGGCTGCAGCCGCGCTCTCGGCGCGCGGTTTGGCCCAAGGTGTGGACGCGCGGCGAGGGTCCGCGGCTCGCGTGCGGCCTAGGCGATGGGCCCTTAGGCGCTCGGGCCCCGCTCGGCGCGGCGAGGGTCTTACCCAGGCTCTCGCGCGCCGGGCTCGCGTCCTTCCGTCGGCCCGGCGGCGCAGCGGGCTCGGGCAAGAGGTGGGGAGGCGCCCCTGCCACGACACTCATTCATCCCCGCGCCCACGCCCTCCGGGGTCTTCGCAGTCCTCCGGCAGGAAGCGGCCGGCCGCAGCGAAGCCCGCCCGGCCAGGGCGCACGGCCCGGGGACAGGCCCTCTGCAACGTCCCTCCCTCCGCCCCCGCAGCTGCTCTCCCCGTGCCAGCTGCGGCCACCCCTAATCCTCATCCCCTCGCTCTGGTGTCTCTCCAGGGCTCTCTGACCGCCGTGCCAGAAGGGCTGGGCGGATCGTGCGCAGCGGAAACCTACCCGGTGGGAGAGGTCAGCTCTGTCACTGGCGCGCGGCAGGGGCCGCCTCTGGTGTCGCCCAGGCTGGCATGCTGGCAGATCCCGGCGGAGGCGCCATCACCCGGGCCGGGAGGGGCGGGCGCAGCGCGGTTGGGGCGCTCGCCGAAGCCTCACCTCCTCCCGCCGCGCAGCCCGGGCGCAGGGCTCCCCTCGCGCAGGCAGGCCATGTGACCTGCGGCTGCCGCGCGACCGCGGCCCCCAAAGCTGGCTTGGGAAAAAAGGACGGCAAAAGGCGCCGACTGATGGGCAGCGAGGGAAAAGCAGTGGTCGCCCCCAAGTCGTGCAAACAGGAAGCCTGCTTCTTTTGTGACGGACGTAAAAGCAGGGTGTTTCATCAGGTGGGCGCAGAGAGATTTATTCACACCGATGAGACGTTCTCTCTCTCGATGCGTGTAAGCGCTTTATGAGAAAGCTGTTCCTTTGGGTCCCGAGTGTTTTTTCAGTCTTCCAAAAACCTTCTATTTAAACTCAGATGGTCTTAAGAGAGACAACACGGGAGGTATGAAAAAATATGCACCTTAAGTGACAACAATCCCCGAAGAGCAAAACAGGAAAAACATGGAAAAATCCAGGGGAGGAAAATGTGCGGGTCAAAGGAAAAGTAACGGCAGGCCGGGGTGGCTCACGCCTGTGATTCTAGCACTCTGAGAGGCCAAGGCGATCGTTTGAGCTCAAGGAGTTTGAGACCCTGTCTCTACTAAAAATAGAAAGAAATTAATTGGACAACTAAAAATATATATAGAAAAAATTAGCCAGGCACGATGGTGCATGCCTGTAGTCCCAGCTACTCGGGAGGCTGAGGCAGGAGGATTGCTTGAGCCCAGGAGTTTGAGGTTGCTGTGAGCTAGGCTGACGCCATGGCACTCACTCTAGCCTGGGCAACACAGTGAGACTCTGTCTCAAAAAAAAAAAACCTAAAATAACAGCTACCTACATTCCACCCCAACTGTTCCTTTCTTCCCAGGGTTTACACCACACCACTGTTTTATCGCTTTTTTATTGCTTCCAATTCTGGGTCAGACTGCCTGTCTAGGCTGCAAGTTAACAATTACAGCTTGCTGCCTAGTTTTGTACAGCCTATCCTGCAATCTAAGAATGTTTTTTACAATATTAAATGATTAAAAAATTTAAGAAGAATATTTCGAGACATGTGAAAATTGTATTCAAATTTTGATGATCACAAAGTTTTATTGTAACGATCATTTACATGTTGTCTATGGCTGCTATCATACAAGAACAGTTGAGTTGGATGGGTGTGACAGACCTTAAGACCCACAAAGCCTAAGATATTTACTATCTGGTTTGCCAACACCTGCTCTAAAAGATCTGTTCAGGGTCAAAAGGTAAAGCATTAAAGCCAGTAAATGCTCATATGATTTCTTCTTGTGTATGTTAGTATAGTTGATACTAGATACTAAGTTTCTTTATTTATTTTTATTTTTTTTGTAGCAAAATGCTGTTTATTTGGAGCATCTGTGTGCAAATGGATGGAGGTGGAAAAAGGCATCCACCCTAGATACTAAGTTCCTTTAGAACCTTACATCCATCTACCTGAGCATCCATTCATCCTCTATTCTTTCAACCAACATTTATTGAAGAATTGTTCTGATGGAGTGCCAACACTATAGATGAGAATAAGATGTGGATCCTACACTCAAGGATCCATTAGGAATGTTGGAAAAAATATACATGTAAGGCTGGATGGCGTGAGAGCTGGCCGTGGCACAGAAAGGGAGGTTGGGAAGGTATTCCTATGTCCTGGAAGAAGAACTAGCAGTTTGATACTCTGAAAGCAAAGGACTGTGACAAACCTGAGTCCAATTCAGGTCACTGTCATTGGCCAAGTGCTGAGTTCTAATCTGTTTACTGGCTATGACAGATTAAACCCTTTCTGCCTCAATGTTCTCATCTATATATTTGGAATAGTGCTATTTCCCTTATAGTTTGCTTGAGAGGTTTACATGACATAATATATATAAAATGCTTAGCACCATGCCTGGCAAAATGTCTAGCATTCAATAATGGTGGATAATTATTCATTTGTTGAACAAAAATTCATTGAGTACCTATTATGATGTGCCACAATGTCTGTGCTGTCCAGTCTAGTGGCCACTAGCCACATGTAGCTGTTTAAATTTAAATTTAAATTAATTAAAATTAAGTAAAATTTAAAAATCAGTCCTTTGGTAATGTCAGCTGCATTTCAAATGCTCAATACCTGCATGGGGTTACTGACTACTGTATTACATGGTACAGATATAGAACATATCCATCATCACAGAAAGTTCTATTGGACAGTACTTTTCTAGACACTAGAGTTTCAGCTGTGAACAAAACAAAGTCTCTGCCCTTAGGGGGGTTACATTTGAATGGATAATAGGTAATAAAACTAACAAATAAATGCAAAATATATCATGTATTGATAAATATTTTGAATAATAAAATCGAACACTTACCTGGCACTTCCTATGGATAATATTGTCCTAAGTGTTTTCAGCATATCAATTCTTAATCACTACAACCACCCCATGAAATAGGTTAGCTAAGGAACTTACCCAAAGTGAAACTACTAGAAAGAGGCAGAGCCAAAATTCAAACCCATGAAGTCTGGCTCCAGAGCCCATTCTTTTGATATGCCATACTGCCTCTCAAAGCAAAATAAAAATAAGAAAAAAACAGGAAGAAAAATATAGTTTCAGAGGTTAGAGACTAGCAGTAAGTCCTATTATAATTATTATAATAAACATATTAACATTCATGCAAGTAGGCTATTTAATTAGTCAGGCTTTGGCCAGAAATAACACCCTACAACAGAAAAATTGAGGAAAATTTAATTAAAAAATCTATTTCTAAAGGTGTGTTTGGGATTAAGGAAAACCAGCAAAGCATAGTACAGCACCTCAGGGCTTGGAACAGCAGGGAACCATTACTAATCCTAGTCCTGAAGGGCAAAGTAGGGAAACAGTTATTAGAACCACAAAAGAATAATTGTAAAGAGAGGGACATCCTATGGGACCTGTCACCTTTAATAGAATGACTCAGTGACCTATGGTGACCCATCAGGGAAAGAGCTAAGGGAATAAATAGCCCAACTTTACTCTCTTCCTTCCATCTTATCTCCTGCTACTGTCTTCCGTTGGCTGAACCCACCCAGAAACCAGAGGGGCAAGGGAGCCCATGATACAATCCATGTAGATCAAATTCCCAGGACACAGAACAGGTTGGACAATCAGGAGGTGCAATTGGGAAATATTCAGTAAAGTCTACCCCTTCTGCCTCTGAGTATCTTCTCTTGTCCTTTGTTCATATAAAAATTGAACATATTATCTGGGACCCACAAAAAGTTCCATTAGCTATTTTATCATAATAGGGTAATTGAAATTGGACATACTCCCTTTCTGAAATATAAAATGTTAATCATCACTACTATTCTTCCTGTAAGGTCAGGGGGAAAGGAGTAGGGGTGGTGATAAACAACTGATATAAAACTATGGTTGGTAATTACATTTAAGTTAAGAATCACAGCTTCCTTCTTCTACTACCTATTGTGTGTTCCTCTTTCTCTCTGTCAGCACTTCGCTATGTGAGACTCTTAACAATGTGATCAAACCTTTGATTCTATACGATTTGAGTTCTCAGTGTCCCTCTCTTTATTGAGTTGTTTAGTTTTCCACTGATCAGGACTGTTGGACATGTGAGTACTCATATGGACTTGTCAATGAATTCCTAGGTTCCAGATACAGTCCCCCTGGACCTGATTTCCCATTATTATAATCAGTTACCTAGGGCTTCAATGGCTACTTTTTTTTGCCTGTCTCAGTTTTTAATTCAACAGGCTAATTCCTTGGTGGAAGTATTTACCCTTTGTGTATGAGAGCCCCTAAATCTTTTAAGTAAATTATTAGGTGTAATAAACAGAAGAATATCTCCTTGTTTCTTGGATCCCTGTATTCATGGCTATAGGCAGATGATACCACATATTAGCTACTGGTTTAAGGAATATATTGCAATTTATAGGTGCAGTCCCTATCCCCCAGTCCATGGCCTGTTAGGAACCGGGTACACAGCAGGTGAGCAGCAAGTGTGCAAGTTAAGCTTCATCTGTATTTACAGCCGCACCCTATCACTCACATCACTGCCTGAGCTCCAACTCCTGTCAAATCAGTCACTGTCTCCCATTACCCTTTTTAGGGACTGTCTAGTTGCAAGAAAACAAGCTCAGGGATCCCACTGATTTGCATTAGGGTGAGTTGTATAATTATTTCATTATATATTACAATGTAATAATAATAGGAATAAAGTGCACAATAAATGTAATATGCTTGAATCATCCCCAAGCCAATCCCCACCCCTAACTGATCTGTGGAAAAAATTGTCTTCCATGAAACCAATCCCTGCTGCCCAAAAGGTTGGGGACCGCTGATGTATAGGACAGCATCTCAACTCCTGATGGTGTTGTCTCACAGCTGTTGTCATAACTGAGCCCTCAGCAGACCATTACACCATTTAATAATACCAGCTCCTTTGGTGTGATGGGGCCTGTGGTAAGAGTACTAAATTCCAAAGTTATAAGTCAATCATCATACTTCTTTTGCTGTAAAATGGGTCCCCTGAGCAAAGGTAATATGTGGTAGAGCAAGACAAGGGAACATTCTGTAAATCCACAAACAGTAGTATTGGCAGAAGTGCTGTGGGCTAGGAAAATTCATACCTGGAATAACTGTCTATCCTAAGAGGACAAATCCTAAGAGGACAAATCTAATATCCCTCCATGATATTAGACGTGCAATATAATCAACCTGCCACCAAGTAGCTGGTCGGTACCCCTAGGAAATAATGCCCTATCAGGGAATTAGAGTTTGGCCATTGCTATATTAGAGTTTGGTCAGGTTGGGCACTTCACA